CCAAGACACTTTTTATTTTATAGAGAAGTATTTAATCTACTCAATTATCGAGTTGTAATTTTAGATTATTTTCTAACTTTATTGCCATAGTTATTTGAAAAAGAGCGAAAAAAGGAGACCGTTGGGTGGACAAGCCGCCGAGTTCTCAAATTCACTTATGGACAAAACTCAGTTCATGTCAGGAAAAACGACGATGAACACATCTGTTCATGAGTTCTGCTCATATTCCTTATATTCTTCTCATAAGAAATATGGTTTTAATTTTTACTGATGACTGTGACTTCAACTTTCATTAATTAACGCGAAGATTTCAATATGTGCATCGTATAGAGCATAAAAAGTTAGCTGTAGAACATTAGGCTCGTTTTTCGAAAAAACATGTGGAACATGGTTTTTCAGAGGTCCAAAGCTTTAGGGGCACTTTTAGGATTTTCCTCTCAAACTCAAATAGAACCCTTGGCTACCGTAGATGGAAATGTAAAGGCATGAAATCTGAGTAAAACAGCGAAAGAATTAGCCCGATAGCTACTCGTGTTTTTGAACAGTGATCAATTTACCGAAAAAAAACGAAAAGTTTGGGCTTATATATCTCAAAAACTCTCCGTAAATTTTTTGTTTTATATTAAAATAGATAGAGCTCATCGAGCTCTACAAAAAATGGTTGTAGTCGACTGTTCGACAAACATCGTCTTCATCGTTATTTTGAGCCTCGAAATTCGTAAACTATCGGTCGTCTTTTTATGATTTCAAGTCAATTTCTCCTCTATTTTTCACTTCTACTGCGACCAGATCATTTCTTTTATCATCAATTGTCTAATTCTAGTTGATATAAATCATAATAAGCTAAAAGGAAACCACTAAGCAAATTTTAGTGTACATATTCATAGAGATTTTTTACTCGAATTTCCATTGGCTGAAATTTAAAGCAATACCCGCAAGCAGTCATTAAGATGAATAGAAACAGCCGAAAAGACACAAGACCTTCTGGTTTATTTGGAAAAGAAAAAAGCAACAGCAAGAATAAGTAGAAGGATTCGAAAACAGTACTTATGTCATTCATTTGATGAACAGAAAGTTCATATTTTTGATCACGTCTGCCTGTTTTCGTTGGTTGTCCACGTGGAGCAGCTACAACTGACATCACTGGAATTAGCAGTTCATCGTGTCTGTTAGAAAATGCAAATTTTAATTGTGGACCCCGAGGATGAGGAAATAAAAGATGTAACTCTTGAGTTAATTCATTCAATTTAAGTATTTGAGCTAATCACCAATCAGAATCATATTCGACAATAACAAAATCTTTCTTATTCGCATCATTAACAAAAAATACAGATCTCAAATACTTCGTGTCGTGTCGTTTCGTTCAATCATACTAAATTCTTCAGATTCCTCTGAATTTGATATTTTTTTACAGCATATCTTCCTCTCAGGTAAGGGCTCAAAATCATGAAAGCCTCTAATTCCAATAATTGGATCTATTTATGGAGAAGAAAAGCGTGGATTTAAGAATTAATTTCAAGAATATAGTAACTGGAGCAGACCAGTAAATCCGCCCTTTAGGATAACTGCACTCTAATCATCATCCACGACGCTTCATACAACTTCTGAAAAGTGGGCTTCTTGAATATCATATCGCACAACATCCATCCAAATTTCACCAAACATTCCAGAAATTTTTTCCAGCCTGAAGCAGTTTCAGAAAATCACTAAAATGACTTTGAGTACAAATCAACCTTTAATTCACGATCATCTCTATTGATAAGCTGTTAATACAGTGTGTCATGGAAAAAATGTGGGACCCTTCTCTCCTAAATGGTTTCAGGACAAGTCCGCTCTGCGTTGCAGTATGTGACGAGTCTATATTCCAACGACTCAACCGCCCGCTGGTCGATGGGAGTACTGTCGTTTCGGGCTAGGTTTTATTCTATTTTAATATATGTAAAAAATGTTTACTACAAAAAATTACATTGTACAATAAACAGACAACAGCTTACTCAGGTGTCTCTTTTTACGGCATATAATTACATGGATTATAACCATAATTTGGTGATGGAACATTGACCCATTGTCGTTGGGTTTCAATTACTTTTCTCTCAAACATCACCGGACTAGCACGAGGAGATGGAACGGGAACGCCAACGGGGACATAAACCGGTGGTGGTGGGGGAGAAGGAACAGGGACTGGAACAGCAACCGGGTAAGGACGATCGACTGGAACAGGTCGCGGTACAGGGACCGGGACTGGACGATCAACTGGTACAGGTCTCGGAACTTCAACTGGATAAGGTTGTGGTACCGGCCGATCAACTGGAACGGGAACCGGTACCTGTTGTCGAATGATTTGTGGTGGAGGGGCTGGTACTAAATCAACTACACGACGTTCAGCTATATAATAATCAGGAGAATAACCAATATTAGCACCAGCTCCGTAAGGATTTACTGCTCTAAATTGGCCACCGTAGTTTCCTCCATAAGCTCCTTGATTTCCATAATTTCCACCGCCGTAGTTTCCTCCATAAGGTCCTTGATTTCCATAATTTCCACCACCATAACCATAAGCTCGCACTTGTTGCTGACCATAATTATTGTAGTTTCCAAAGATGCCAGCAGGGGCTGCTGATAATTCTAGTCCACTACCACTGCGTTTCAAATCATCGGAACTATCACTTCGTGAAAGACGACGTTCAATCTTTCCACCAATTTTTGATACTTGGTCAAATGTTTTATTAATTAGATTGTTCATTTGAGCTTGTTTGGTTTTTGTTCTTATTAACCGGTTTAAGTTTTGATTCTTACAGTTAAACTGTTATTACGTTTGACTTTTATACCTTGCTATAGATGGGTATTAGTTAGAGAATGAGTAATTGCGATAGATTATTCTTTTGTGTGGGTAGAATGAGAAATAAACATGGGTATGTTTCATCCGTTACGGGCTAACGACAACGATTGATTCACTTGTCACGTTTACTCATATTGTACTTGTGCGAGGTGTAGCACATTAGTAAGTTTCTAGTTCGATTTATTTAGCTTTATGTGTGAACAAGTTCCTTATGGTTTAGTTTAGGAGTACCTCTGTGAGCCAATCATGCAGTTCTGCAACTACTGTCATACGTAAGATTTTACGTTTACTTCTAACTAATTTCATTCGAATAATTTATTATAAGACCTTTCAATTAAATCGTTTAAAACCTAATACCCACGAAAATAGACATTGAATCGTTAAATCAATTATATCTGAAAATCGGGATAGATCACACATTCTTGAAGAGATGAAGCTCAGCCACATTCTGAAGATGAATTTAAGACATTTTTCTGTTATCGTTGAAAGAGAAGATACCTTTAAAGTTGTAGTTTACTAGTAAAAACCTTTGACTATTATCGAAATTTTAAAAGAAGGCTATCCGGCAAAATGATTAAAACTTTTTAACGAAGATAGCTAGCGGCCTGCGGTTGTCACCATTTGAAAAACAAGACCGAGGGACGTAAATGTGTGGAAAATGAAGGTAATAAGGTTGAGAAGGTCGGTCTTGTGTAGATTGAAAGAGAAAACATTTCTCTATCAACTGGTGATATTACAAGCTAAAAGCAAATGTGAAATGTCTTCAGAATATCGATTTCAAAATGTCTACCAAGCACTCACCTGATTGGTCGATTGCGGGACCAGTCAAATTTCCCACACATTTACGTCCTTCGGTATTGTCTTTCAAATGCTGACAACCGCAGGTTGCTAGCTATCTTCGTTAAAAAGTTTTAATCATTCTGCCGGATAGCCTTCTTTTAAAATTTCGATAATAGTAATGGCCTTCTTTCAGAAAATATTTGCATCAAATCGCAGGTGAAGAAATAGATAGGCCTCCAACTATCTGGAGAGAACTAAGAAGTAAACAATACTTATGCCGACTTTAGCACCTTAGAACGTAAATGAATGAAGTACATACACTTTTAGAGTGCTGTAAATATTTTAGTTGTGAACTTAGTTGCACAATTTTGTAATTTAAGAGATAATAATATTTAGGGTAAAAATTCAGAAAAAGAACAACAAGATAGTTATTATATGTATGCTATATATCCCCATCTATCGGTACATAAATGTGGATACTTTATATCAAAATGCGGTCGTAACATCGGGTTTATACACACGTCGAGACACACCAGTATTCCCATCCTGGATTGAGTTTGGCTGATTTCTCATCTCTGTAGGATAGCCAGAGATATTTCCATCAGTAAAAGGCAATACTTCACGCCAGATAGTTAGCAACATTGAACTATAAGCTACTTTTGTCAATACATCTAATAGCAAGAACCAAATGGTTTCCGCATCGACAGAGATGACATTACCACCTGTACCTAATCCCCAAGCAATAGGATAAATCAACCATAAACCTCCCAAAACGCAGCTTTGGACGGTGTAAGCAGTCTTTGTTGTTTCAGGCTTTGTATATTTCGGATAGACAAAAAACAGTAAGTATAAAACTGGAAAAAAAGCCAGACAGCCAAGACTAAACCAACCCCATAAATACGCTTGTTTTAATGATAAAGCACCAAATAAGCCTAATAAAATCATCAGTTCATCAAAAAATAAACATAAACGCATCAAATTCTTGTTAACACCCGCCAATTGAGCTAAATCATATAATAGTAAGGGAGTTGTTAATGCCCAATCAATATATCTAGCATAAAAAATAATTCGTCCTGTGCTCACATTTATTATTTTTCCTTGATCAAATGCCATGGCCAAATAAGCTGTTGCTGCTATGGCTGTAATCATCATTGAATTGATAGAAAACTTCTGAATTTTTTCCGTTTTTGCCATCATAGTTGAAATTAGAAATCCACCTGATGCAGCGGCAAAGCAACCAAATCCAGTATAAAATACAGCCCTACCAGGAGTACCTCCTAGATACCAGTCACTATTAGGAATAGACATCTGAAAACAGGAATCAGGAAATAAACAAAGAAACCTTCCTTGTTAAATTCACAAACTTACACGTAATATCGAGTTGCATGAATATTTGAACTTACGTTTTGTGTAAACTCTAGATATAATAAAGTGAAGGAATATTTAAAGAATATTTTCATTGTTATTTTCTATTTTACCCCGAAATGATTAAATAGTATCCAAGAAACCTTATGAAGCATTTGTCTTGAACATAATTTAATTTTTTTAAAGAAGTCAACGCCAATAGCAATAGAGATTTCGCTCTCACCAAGACAAATCTTGGCACAATATGTACAAATGAAATGAAATTGGATTAGTCACTCATTTCTTGGAAAATTAACGATCGAAAAGGTGAACAACGCAAAACAACTTCTATGTCTTATTAGAGAACATTTCAAAATTTTTTACTCTATATATATTGCTATTTTACTCTTTTCCTACTTTACTGCGACTCTCTTTCCTTCTCTACTGCTTTTCTCTTTCTCTCTTTTTTTGCTGTTGCATTCATCGCACATATGCGATCAACAATCATCAACTTCTTATTTTAAAAGACCACAGGTTTCAAATACGATCTTATTCATCATGAGCTAGCTATAGCTTACAATAAACAACAAACGACCATATGTACTTACACTCAGTTTTTCTCCCCGCATTTCACTATTCACTCACTTTTTTGTTCTCTCTCTTCTAAACATATATTGAACACGTGACACGACATTACCGCGAACGACGCTACCGCGAAGACCCGTTTATTGGAAAAGAAGAGTAAATGAGTCTGGTTTTGTATTTTGTATATCATATCGCAGGAGGCGGGGGGAGGGGGGCGGCATTGTGAGAGTGAGTTCGAAAAGTAGTTCACACAAAACAGATTTTTATGATGCGAACCTAGATATCTCTGGCTGTATCAGATATTGACTAGTCACGACATAACTTTAGTTAAGTTTGAAAACATGATGTACAAAATACAAAACCGGCCGTTTTATTCGTCTTTTCCAATAAACAAGTCTTCGCAGTAATGTACTTTCCTATATTCGTCGTAATGTCGATCCCGGTAATGTCGTTCGCGGCAATGTCGCCGTATCATTCAACATTACAAGGGGGAGAAACGGAAGAATATCGAAAGTTGTTCACTGCACTGTTTCTCTCTCTTGTTCACAATTAAATCACATAAGTTAAAATAAAACGTAATTAGAACAAAACCTAAGACTAAGTTGAAAATGAACACTGCAATAAAGAAATTACGATATTCTTCTGTTTTTTCCTCTTGCAGTGTTCAGCACATGTTCATAACAACCAGAAAAAAAGAATGAAAAGTGAAACCAATTAACATAAAGTTATTAGATAAAGGAAGCATTTCGTTTTCTGACAGAATTATTAGGTTAAGGAAAAAGTTCGTGCGCCGTGTTGAAATAATGATTTTTTATATATTTTTTTTTGTGTTTTTGATCTGGTTTTGTGGCTATTATGAAAATTTATTGATTTTTGAAACGCTTGAACCATTTCTGTGCAGT